TTTCCAATATTTTGGAAATAAAAGGGAGTTTGGAGATCGGCCTGTAGTTAGTGAGAGCATTAGGGTCCAGATTTTTCTTTTTCATAATAGGTTGCACAACAGCATGCTTAAAGACAGACGATGCACAACCTGATGACAATGATGCATTCAGCAGAAGTAAGATACAAGGACCAATAACATGTAAAGATTCCTTAAAGAAACGAGAAGGAAGAATATCGTGCGGGGAACCAGAGATTTTGAGATGATCAATTATGTCTTTTAAAGCAGAATAAGACACTGGCTCAAACTGTTGAAGGACAGTCAAGCATTCAAAGGCTGGAACTGGGTCTAACCTTATAAACTGAAACTCTTCAAATAAGCCATAAAGTTGTGTCTCTCCTTTTTGCAGAGTCGAAGAGCGTATCAGGTCACATTTCACTGCGTGTTATATCTGTATAACCATGCACATGACAAATAAAGAATCTTCCTCTGCAGATGATCAGTTAGCTGTTTGACAACTACTCTTTCAAGAATTTACGAGATAAAAGGAAAGTTGGAGATTGGCCTATAATTAGCTGGGTCAAGGGATGGCACATAGCGATTATTAGAGATAGTTTGGAGGAAGACATTACTGAAATTAACTCAGAAAGATCAATAGGAGAAAAAGACTAAATGGTACTGAAAGCAGCGGTACATGTTGTTACATCTGTGAGATGATCATGAGTAATTGTTTCTCTAATGGTTAAAATGTTATTTGTGAAGAAGTTCATGAAGTCATTACTAGTTAACGTTAAAGGGATGGTTGGCTCAACCGAGCTCTGACTGTTTGTCAGCCTGGCTACGGAGCTGAAGAGAAACCTGGGGTTGTTCTTATTTTCTTCAATCAGTGATGAATAGTAAGACCTTCTAGCTTTACAGAGGGCTTTTTTATAAAGCAACAAACTATTTCTCCAGGCTAAATGATGATCTTCTAAATCTGATCTTCTAAATTTGTGACACGCCATTTCCTCTCCAGCTTAAGAGTTATCTACTTTAGGGTACGTGTTTGAGAATTATACCACGGAGTCAAGTACTTCTGATTTGAGGCTCTCTTTTTCACAGGAGCTACAGTATCCAGAGTCGTGCATAGTGAAAGTTAAAACTATTAACAAGATAATCGACCTCTGTTTGAGTAGCCTTCAGGTACCTGCTCTGCTCTCTTTTGGTACAGGCTATTGAAGATGATAAAAGTGGGTGAACTGTATTCTTAAACCTAATTACAGCACTTTCAAAAAGACATCTACTTTGATGAAATCTATTTCCCACTAAACAAGAGAGGCTTTTCAGGAAACACTGTTTCAGTTTCAATTCAATTCAGTTTTATTTATACAGTGCCAAATTACAAGAACAGTCGCCTCAAGGCACTTTATTTTCTAAGGTAGACCGTACAATAATACATACAGAGAAAAGCCCAACAATCACATGACCTGGTATGAGCAAGCATTTTAGTGACAGTGGGAAGGAAAAACTCTGTTTTAACAGAAAGAAACCTCCAGCAGAACAGTTTAATGGAGAACGATTAAAAACACTGTCCTCACTGCTGGATCATAAAAAAATATTTATAACAATGTTCTGTAATTATTAAGTTATTTAAACATTAATTAATACTTGGAATACAAAACCTTAAAAACTGCTTATTCCAGTATTGAATCAGGTTGGATGGACACATCTGGAAAACAAGAAACAGCTGAAATGAATAAACTGCACTGATACAAAAGGAGGTAAAGCTAAACAGAAGACATGAGTTAAATGACTTTCAAAGTAAAACAGGAAGCAAGGTAGCAGGAAATGACTAAAGAGAAACAAACAAGCAGATATTACGGAGATTAAGATAATCTCTACTATAGTAATTAAAAATGTAAAATTAACAATGAAGACAAACTTTTAAAAAAAATCTCAAAAACAGGAGAACTCAGAATAAACCAACAAAACCAAAGACCAATTTCTGATGAACACAAAGACTTCTTAATGTGAGATGTCCTTAACACCTTTATAAAGATCAGTACTTTGCCTTCCACCCGGCACTACCACTAAACCAATAAGGTATGCATTTTAGCACCACAAGATGGGAGACCATGTCGTGCTTCAACATTAGGAAGTAAATTCAAGATTGTCCAGCTATATCGTTTTCGTTCAACCACTGCCCCGTTTCAACTACTAGTATCACCTCCTTCCTCATTTAGTTTTTTTTTTCCTGATTGTCACACATTTGTTTCAGATCATCAAACAGTTTTCAATATTAGACAAAGATAACTCAAGTATATATAAGATTGACTGGTTGTGCAATTCTTGGCAGCAAGAACTGCAATCAAAAATTTGTCATAACTGCTCATGATTTTTTTCGCCTCTGTGGATGAAATGTTTATTCTGTTTTTTATTCTTGGTATGATGTTCTCTTTGTGAAATGCTATGTTACACAAACATTCCAAAGACTTTAACTTTTCTCAGATATTTTCTCAAATTTTTTGGAGATCATCAAGATGTGGCAAATTTGAAACAAGCCTTTGTATTGTTTTTGGTCAGCAGTTATTTTCATCTTAGAACTTTTCCATAGATGCGTTCTACCTGATCTTTCTTATTGGTGAATCATGAACGCGCATCTTAACTGAGGCAAGTGAGGCCTGCGTTTCTGTAGATCTTGTTCTGTTTTTTGTGACCTTCTGGATGAGTGATTGATTGCACTTGGACTAATTCTGGTAGGCCACTCACTCCCAGGAAGGTTCACTATGTTGTTATTATGTTTTTAAACAGGACCAGGTAGGTTTGGATTAAAATTAGTTTGAGCTGAAACCTGCAAATGTGACTACATGCAAAAACACAGAAGAAATCCAGAAGACTCAAACACTTTCATAGCACTGTGTCGCATTACAACGGTTTAACTGTTTATGCATAATAATTTTGATAATCATCCAGAACCCACAACAGTTTTGCCCTTTGCAGCTACCTTATGAGTAAGTGTTCACAGTAAACCCATGTTGGGCTAGCCCATAGCAGTTTAGCCTCTTTGGGCCCCAAAAAACGTGGGCAGCCCAGTGTGGGTTTACCATAGGAAAACCCATACTGGTCCCCTTTTGGGTTAGCCCATTAAGGCTCCACAGTAGTTTGATCCCAAGAGGTCCCCTGATTGTCATGGTTTTCAATGGGCAACCCACAGTGGGATTGCTCACCGTGGGTGTGGTTTGCCCACCATGGGACCGAAAGAGCCAAACTGCCGTTGGGTCTATGTAGGCACAGTTAACTTGGGACTGGATGGGATAAGCGATAAGGGCAGACCTGAAACTATTTTGCTGCTGAAAAAGCCCCATTAGTAAAACCCTGTACTAAAGGATGTATAAATTGTCTCTCAGAACACTCACTGTATGATTGTTTGTGTCTTCCTGTCCATTAGACAGTGGTGTGTTTGGCGTTCCTCTGAACACGCTGTTGGAGAAAGACAGGAAGAAGTTTCCTGGGGTCAAAGTTCCTGTCGTGTTCCAGAAGGTGAAGAACGTGTCCTTCTCTATGTCTAATCAAGTTTCAGACAGGGGATAGATTGCTGGCTTCATTACTCTAAAACTTATGATACTATAGTTTAAGGCACAATCATAATCTTATGTGTCTTTGGGAAGTTCAGGAGCAAAAGGGGGTTACTGTTTGGTCAGTAGTTCGATTCTTCAAGTAAGCAAATATTGAACCCCAAGCTGAAGCATCTCTTTACGTGCATGATGTAAAATGTTTAATGCTTATAGTAAACAGTGCTCAGAGTAGATAAGTGCTGTATAAGTATGAGCCCATTAGCATATGATCTTGGTGACCTAAAGTAGTTGTTTAACTAACAGCTAGCAAAGTTAGTTTACCTTTGTTTACATCTTGTTTAGAAATTTAGTGAAAATAAACAAACAACAGTAACCAGTCACACCCTCCTTTATGTGTGTGTATGCATGCAGTTGTTGTGTATCTTAGAGCAAACAGGCCTGTTGACTGAGGGGATTCTCAGAGTACCAGCATCAGCTGCTAGAGTCAAGGTAACACACACACACACACACACACACACACACACACACACACACACACACACACACACACACACACACACGCATACACCGCTGTTTGTTTCCATACAGAATAGCTGTTGCCACTCAACAATAGTGCCACATCAGCAGTGGAGGAGGAGAAGTGGAAATCGGAAGTACTGTACTATTATATTATTAAAAACTGTGGTAAAAGCTGGCGAGCCAGCTGTGGTGCAGCGACACAACACACCATGTAACAAAAATGGGGAGGTGCGTGACCTGCAGAAACGTTCAACTTTGGCACACTGTACCATTCATGAGGCACGTCATGCACTGGAAGTCTACCTGCAAAAAGCGTCTGTTGTTGGTTGAAGGGAGTGTCAAAAACATGTGGTACAACCAGTCTGTGGGCTACTATCCATTTGAAGAGCAAAGTTATAACACACAACAAGCTGAAGTGAAACCGAGTGTGAAAGATTACCACTGCAGCCAGTCTGTAATTTTTATCTTTGGTTATCTTTCCACATCTCTTTCATTCGCAGTGAACTGCCTGTCACTCCCTTCCCTGTTCCGTCACATTTGTCAACCAATCAACATTTGAACAGTGCATAGGTTCCCTGCCTTCAGCAATGCATAGTTAGGATGTTGGATGACTGGAGGTGCATCATCATGGGCAAAGCAAGGTCAACATTCCCAGATCCTCAACCATGAACCTTAACCTAGCTCTAACCCGAAAGCCCTTCTGAACCCAACACTAGTCCTAGTTTTTAGGTAACAAACGAATGGTTATTTTCTACATCAAGTTGTTTTTCTCTTTAGATGATGCTTTAACATAGCAAAGTACTAAGGTCAAGACAGCAGCTAAGTGGTGTTTGTTTCTAGATTTTGAGATTGTCTAAACTCAACATTGGTCCTCACAAAAGATGGACGCACACCCTGACACACTTTAAAATGACTTTTTACATTCTGGAAAACTGAGTATGTCTGCCTGTGTGTATCTATGTCTGTGTGTGTGTAATACCTACCTGTTTTTGTCCGATTCTCTGTCTGTATCTTTCTCCCTGCTGTCTCTCTGTCCACCTCTCTGTTTGCTTGCAGTGCCTTCGTAGAGAATTAGACAGGTGCTATGAGGGATTTGACTGGTCTGCGCTGAGACAGGTGGACGCTTCCAGTCTGTTGAAGCTTTTCATCAGAGAGCTGCCAACCCCTCTGCTGACACACACACACCTGTCCACCTACCGCTCTGTACTGAGTATGTGTGCACACATACAAACACACATTTTCATCATTTAAATGTGTTTGCATTACATGAAGTGTTTCTGTGTGTCCCTGCAGGTATCCCCTCTGAGCTCCATCAGGTTCAGGCCCTGCAGCTGCTGACGTTGCTTCTTCCAGAAGCCAACAGAGAAATTCTGAGAGTAAAGCTTCACCCAGACATTGTCTACACACACAAATGAGACACACACAGAGTTCCACACAAACACAAGTGAGAGAGAATTGGGCAAACAGTGAGAAGCAGAAAGAGGGCAGTAAACACACAGTATAATATGTCACAGCCTAAAAGAGCATGGGACAGCACGTTATAGGGAATCTTTTAGTTTTACAGAAAATTTAATATCATTAAAATATACTCTTGTAAACTCATTTAAGTCTTCACTTAACCTTCATTTATCAACAGACAGACAGACGATCAGCTAGGTGAGTGACTCCAGCAGATCCCAGGAACAACATTGGAGATCTCTGTCCAGATGAGTGCAGTCCTACGAACAGCTAAGAAAATGCACAGGGCCCTCAAGCTCCCAGGCCTCATGTAGAAGACCTGAGCTTGACAGATAGACCGAGAGGTCCCCCACGCTATCCAAACCTACACACACAAACACAGACACACACTATATTGCCAAAAGTATTCACTCACTCATCGAATCATTGAGTTCAGGTGTTCCAATCACCTCCTTGGTCATAGGTGAATAAAGTCAAGCACCTATGCATGCAGACTGCTTCTACAAACACTTGTTGAAGAAAAAGGCTCTCAAGCGGTCAGTGAATTCTAGCATGGTACCATGATCAGATGCCACCTGTGCCCACAAGCCCAGTCATAAAATTTACATAAAAAACAGCAGATTTAGATTAGGTATATCCCTAGTCTTTTCACTAAAATAAAATTTCGTTTTAGTCCAGATTTAGCCACCTAATTTTTGTTTTTGTCTTGCTTTAGTTGAGTATATATCTTTAGATGATGGTAGACTAAATCTGAAGTTGATTTAGGTCACCAGATTTTAAGGTGTCATTGTGTTGGTACAAGTGAGAGTTGCTCTACATGTCTCCATATGTCCACAATTCTCTTCCTCCGAAACATTGACATTTTGTCACATTTTCTAACCTTACTGCACAAGATTATTACTTCTGGCTCACTTCCTGCCTCGTCTCAGAAGAAACATTTTCATCTCGTTTTTATTCGTGGACGAACGTTTCGATGCCTTTCATTCATTTTTATTCAGTTATTGTCTTGTTTTTGCTAGAAAAAAAGTTTGTTGATGAAAAATATAATAAAAATTAGTCAACAAAATTAATACTGCTACTAAATATTCCATAGTCAACTGTGCAGCGTCAATGGATGCTGAGGGACGTTGCCAATTTTCTAGTGAATCACTGCAGAGCTACAGTGATTGTTATGGTTTTCTATTATGAATACATTATGGATTTATGAGATTTGTAAATCATTGCATTCTGGACCAAAGTGCAGTACTCACAGAAAAACAACTCATCAAAGAAGAGAACTTCACAAAACAAAACAAAACCCCTAACGTAAACCTAAACTAAACTGACACTGAAAACTAGATACTAGGAAACACGGCTTGAAACAGGACAGGAGAAAACACAGTACAAAGAGAGAGTAGGTTAAGTTAACCATCCAACAACAAGCAAGGGTAGGCTGAGGACTAAAATACACAGGTAGGATCACGAGAGGATTAGGAAACAGGAAGAAACACAGCTGGGACAAATCAGACATGATGCGACGAAGGAAGGCAAAACACCACGCACACACAGACACGGACTCAGAGACACGAGCTTAACATCCCAATAATACTGACACAGTACAGAGGGAACATAAGGACAGGGCCTAGACAGGAGACATGACTGACTGGGGAACAAGAGAATAAACATGAAGACCTAGAAATCATAAACCCAGAAGAACTAGAGATCTAGAAATAAAAAACGGAAACCAAACCCTAATAGTCATGAACCCTGATGAAATCAAAAAGAAAAGTACAAAACCTAAAACACTGGGTCACCAACCCAGGACCATGACAGACTTCTTTTTTTTTTTAGAAATCACACGTGGTTGCAAGAAAACCTGTTTTTTGTGGTTCCAGGCTCTGCTGGTCTTCCTCCGTATGGTGGTCTCTCATCAGGATCAGAACCGTATGTCTCTGTGGAATGTGTCCATGGTGATGGCACCCAACCTGTTCCGTCGTCACCATGGAAACAAGCGCTCAATTGCTAAACGAGATGAGATGGAGGAGGCAGTGGGTGGAGCTCAGCTGATCCGGCTGATGATCATTCACCAGGACTTGATTTGGACCGTAGGTTTCAGGACACACCTGCACAGTCTCGGTGCCCCTAACCCCCGATGACTTCTCGTTCTCTTTGATAGGTCCCCAAGTTTCTACTGTCTCAGGTGAGACAGATGAACCAGGTGTCCATTCAGAAACAGCTTGGCCTGAGCTGGACCAGTAGACTTTTGAGGAAGAAGAATGACAAGAATGAAAGAGATCAGGTGAGACAGAGACCAGGGCCAAGGAAGACAGAGACTAGGACCTGGAAAGACCAAGAACTGCATGAGATGAGCACCAAAACAAGGCGAGACAGAGAACAGATAAGAAGAGAGAGAAATCAGGTTTGATACAGGTCAGGACCAAAGGAGATGGAGTCCAGAATCAACTAAGGCAAAAACAAGGTTAGTCAAAGACCACAGGCATGCGGGGCAGAGTCCGGGTTCAGCGTGCTGTCTGTTTGTGTCTCTGCAGATCACAGAGCTGTGTGAAGGTGTGATCAGAGTTCATGCTCCTCTACACACCAAGATTTCCATGGTGATACAACTTGAGGAACAGACAACAGCCAAGGACATAACGTCCCGCTTCGAGTGTGAGAACAGGTGACAAAATCTCTCTCTCACACATAGATGCACATTTATCCGACTTCTGTGAGGATCCATACCTATGGTCCCCACCTGTTCCCACACTGAAGGAAAATCTGACTTTTATTTACCATCCCTGTCTTTCTCCTTCTGTCTTTGTTTTTCTCTGATCAGTCCAGTTCAACATCTGTATGAAGTTGGAGGAAACATCTGTGAGTCACATTATAACATCATGATAAACACCTGACAGACTGGATGTTAAATATTAAAGCTGTCTCTCTGCCTGTCTCTCAGGTGAGCGTCGTCTTCATCCTGACTGTGTTCTGTTGGATGTTTACAGAGTTAATCCCCACTGTGATTGGCTAATTAAACCCTGACAACCTGTCTCAGAACCTGTTTCAAGTGTCTCACCACCTCTCTCATTAATGCCTCCCCACCGGTCGACACATGCACTACCACCTGTCTCATTGCCCTCACTCCACGTCTCAGCTCGTGTTTTTTGCTGTCACAAAAACACTGGCACCAGCCTCATCACATTTGTGACAATCTCTCCCACAAGTGGATCCAAACTTCCCTTTATCATGAACCACTTCCTTTGTTCATACAGCAGCTGTTGGCATGACATCACAGTAACATTGTCCTTTATCGAACAATTGTTCAGTCTGTTTTTTTAATCTTTCTGAATTTGGTTTGTCCTGGCAGATTAGTTACATCTTCTCCTGCTCCGGTCTTTATTTACTGCTGTTGTTTCTGTACATCAGAACAAATGTGTTTATTAATGATGCTCATATTAAAACTTGAATATGTACTGATGGCAAGCTGTCTCCACCTGCTGGTCAATGTGTGTAATTAAAGATGAAGTCTTCTCTCTGTTTATCTGGAAAGCAACAGAGATGAATGTAGAGAACAATGTATGAAAATAGAGGATACACCAATAACATCAAATAATTTAATGTGAATAATAAGCAGACCATACAGTATATAATGATACATAATGTATCACTGAAATCAGAGCAAACACTAGGTTCAAATTACCACCGTGGTTTGTGGGCTCAACCTAGTCATCGAGGTTACTAACCCAGTTGCTGTGAGCTTAAAGATTCTCAGAACTACATGCATTCATCTCTTTAATTTCTTACTGCATGACTTAAACTGACTTAAAACAGCGTTTTACTCCTCATTTGTTTTTTATCGCTTTAGACCTTTCAAGTAGAAACCTCTATCACAAAATAATTTAGTATAGGCCCAACATTGTAATATTAGTATATACATACACTGGCATCCTCTTGCCCTGCCACCATCAAGTGGTGATCAGTCAACAGCTCTGTTCTTCTCTTCAATCAAGTGTACAAGATATGCTGTAGAGCTGATTACTAAATTTAGTCACTGAATTGCAGCCTATGATGCAAGATAGACTCATGGTACAGGTATGGGCCTTTTTAGGCTGGCCATAGGCCTTCTTATCATCATCGGCTGAAAATCTAAAATCAGAGCGACAGCAAAAACTGTGGAGAATCCATAATCTGGTGCCTTGAAGACCATGAAAGGAGGCTAACGTGGATGACTGCAAAAATCTTTTCTTGGTTAAGATTTCCTTCACAACATCTAACCAAGTCCAGAACAATCTCAAGGAGGTCTACAATCAAGGCACAGCTTCATGAAATGGAGATGGAGAAAACTGAGTGTTTACAACAAGGTGAAAACCTCAAAACCAAAGAACGCATTGGGTTTATTTTTGTGACCTGGAAGCAAAGTCTGTGTTTTATACTGACTGTGAGAAAAAAACAAGTAAAGGTGATGATCACATTCAATGCAGCTCACTTCATGCCGGTTTATTTTTATAGCAACAATTCACAACAACAGTTGCTTCAAGGTGCACTGAAGAGAGGTCCTCATACTCCACAATGCTGAGGGGAATGTCAGTGTTACGAAATGTCCAAGCTGGAGCTATGATCACAAGCCAGAGGTCATTAGCTTAGAGGCCAGAGGACTTTTTTCTCTGATTAATCTCTCTGTTAGTGTGTGTGTGTGTGTGTGTGTGTGTGTGTGTGTGTGTGTGTGTGTGTGTGTGTGTGTGTGTGCAACAGCAGCAGGGGTAGGATATAGCTGAGTTATCTAAGCCGGGTAAGTCAGCAGCATAAAAAAAAAAATCACATGCCATGTAACCATGGTGTCAGAGATGTTACCATAGTGATAATCTCATACATCTCATCTGGAAGCATTTTGTAGTATCACAGCACTTGTAGAAAATCGAGAGGCAGCATCGATCACCAAACCAGAACTAGATATGATGGGCTTGCTAAAAGTCTAGTTCCTTCAAATTCTTCACCATTTAAAACATTCGAGTGTAACAGCAACATTCATTAGGCCTTTAGAGGACCTGCTGTCCAAGCCAATATTAAGGTGGCTAGAGTTCAACCAGTATAAACGATACAGTATTACAGTCTAACACAGATTCACCAAAGCATCATTGTCAGTGGCCAGAGGTCTTTACTACTTAGACTTAGTTCCTCCTACGCCGGGCGGCGCATCGGGCAACTAGTGATCTCCATCGATGTCGGTCAGCAGCGACTGCTTCAGCTTCGTCCCAGGCAATGTCGACAGTTCTCAGATCGTCCATGAATGTTCGACGCCATGTGGTCTTTGGTCGGCCTTGCTTTCACTTGCCAGTGCGTGGACGCCATGTCATGGCAATCTTAGCTGGGCGATGAGGCGGTAGGCATAAAATATGGCCCGCAAAGCGGAAGCGCCTTTCTGCAACAACATCGGCTAATGGGCGGGTGCCTGCTCTTCGTAGGACCTCCTCATTTGTTATTCGGTCCCGGTAGGAAATTCTCAGGATTCGCCGCAGGCCACGTTGTTGAAGCACGTTCAGGTGTTGAATAATTGCACTTGTTGAGCACCAGGTTTCACTAGCGTAAAGTGCAGTAGGGAAGACGATAGAGTTCAGTAGTCTGATCTCGACCCTTACATTCAGGGAGGTCGAGGTCCAAATAGGTTGGAGTCTTCGCAGGACACCAACTGCCTTCCCTACTCTGGCGTCGACATCCCGATCAGAGACCCCGTCATTCGAGATGATGCTGCCAAGATATGTAAAATTCTCCACCTCTTCAGCACGTTGTTGGTTGATCATGACAGGAATGCGGGCACGTGCATAACCAACTCGGAGTACCTTGGTTTTTTTGGCGCTGATTCTTAATCCAACTTTTGTCGCCTCCCTCTGCAGGGCCGCGGTCAACTTTTGGAGGTCTTCCTGAGTCGAGCCCAGCAGGGCGATGTCATCTGCGAAGTCCAAGTCAGTGAGATTACGCGCTTCGTGCCAGGGCACACCGATGCCAGCTTGGTCAACTGATCGTCGCATGATGAAGTCAATTACCAACAGGAAGAGGAAAGGGGATAGCACGCATCCTTGTCGGACGCCAGTATTGATCTTGAAGAAATCTGTGCAGCCGTCATCCGTCCGGACGCAGCAACGGGAGTTGGAGTAGAGACAACGAAAGGCATCTACAAACTGCTGAGGGACTTCATAGTGGCGTAGGATAGCCCATAGAGTCGGCCGGCGGACGCTGTCAAAAGCCTTCTTGAAGTCAATGAAATTAATAGAAATCTTCCTTTGGTATTCCAATGTTTGTTCAATGATCAGCCGAAGGGGAAAAATTGCCCCAAGCAAGAACCGCCACCCCGAAACCCAGCCTGCTCTTCTCGCAATCGTTCGTTCACTGCGTGTCGTAGCCGATTCAAAAGAGCGAGGCAAAACACTTTCCCGGGTACCGACAGCAACGTGATGCCCCGCCAGTTGTTACAGTCACCCAAATCACCTTTAGCCGATAATGAGATTCACTTGCTGTTTCCGTAGCAGTTGGAGTTTTTACAGGGTGGGGTTGCTAGCCCCACGCCCAACCCTCCTCCTTTCTCATCTTGGGCTTGGGACCGGCAATGGCAGAGTTAGTCTTTATTGAGTCTTTATTGTTCCAATATTCTCATGAGATGCATTGTGCTCTGAATGCTCTGCATATGAGAAAGATGGGAAAACTCTCACATTGACAGTGGATCAAAAACATTGCAGAAATATATAAATTTAAGGCATATCCTAGTAGCAGACAGACAGGCAAAGCCATGTCCCATGGTTCCAAAACAGGGCACCAAGGTTGAAAAACAGCTTGCACTTAAAGATGGACAACTACTGACCCAAAGAGAGCACCATAAAAGACTGGAATGTCAGTTTGGGAAAGCACAGCGCAACCAATTCAGAGGGTGCAGTACTTAAGTTAAATATCAAAAGACCTAGAAGAGAGAAAGCCAGATCTCTCATCACCACCATTACATGTTCCAGTCCAATTAAACCACCTTTTGAAATTTGAATGTGAGATAAAAGTTTTAAAGGTCACCTCAAAATATTTACAAAAACTTGATCAATGTCCCAGAAATTTAAATAATATGTATTTTGTTGTTGTTTTTTAACTCATTCACTGCCATTGACGTCTATAGCCGTCAATTGCAGTGAATGAGTCAATGGGTTTAACTCATTCACTGCCAATGGCTGGCAGTGAATGAGTTAATCTATCAGCTAAACATCAGAAGTTTAAAAGAAGAAAAGCAAGAGTCTCCTAAAGTATTTTATTTCCCTTTTTTTATGGTAGTACTTGTATTCACTGAAGTGAAAAATTAAGTACAGAGTAATTTGGACACTGCAACTTAGTGTGACTGGGGACTAACGCTTTAGTGGGAAGTTTACACCATAGCTACACTGTAACCGCAACCCCCTCTAAAACCCTGAGGCGAAACTTGACGTGGACCTCCCTGGAAATCTCCAAGTCTACAAATATAGTGACTGGCCTGTGTAGTACCGTCTATTCCTCCTGTGTAGGTCTGACTACCTTCTCCCATGCAATTTATTGACATTTTAATAACATGCAAATATTTCATAAAGCTTAAATTTGAAATATGTTGGTGTTGGGAAAAATTATTTATTAGACATTGTACATTTATTGCGAAGTGAATCTCAATAAAAGCTTATTGTTGTTAGTTTTAGCAATATTCATTCACTCCTTATTATTATTATTATTATTGGTCTGGTCATAGCAAAACAAGGCATATTAAAATAGAAAAAACTGTATTTCAGGCAAAAAGGGTGTAGGCAGAAATTATGCTTACATGAGTTATGAGTCAGCATCACCTATTTTAACATAATGTCCACAACAACAGCACCCCCCAGCGGTCATAGTAAACACAGCAGAGAAAAATATCTTGAGTGTGTGACGCTGT